TCTCCCCCCCCCCCCCCTGCTCCTCCGTGTTCTTTTACTTCGCCGAGTCCTACCTTCCATGGAGATTAAACTACGATTATCAACTCCGCTTGGAATAATTTCTGAATTTCAATAGTACCTATACAATAATTACTCCTGAAATTGGCTCGCGCACACAGAGAACCGCTTACGGACTTCTTATCGCTCGAGTTTCATAGAGTCTTACCGACCATTTAATAATGAACTAATTTCACTAAGCAAATCGACAAGCTCGTTACGGAGAATTCCCAATTGACTTTTCATCGTCTAAAACTGACGTACTATCGTTACCTACGTTGGACTTGACAACTATAGCTTTCCTCCGGATATTAATGGACGCTTCATACCCACGTACGCAGGAAACATTATTAAAGCCAACATAAAGGTCGTGGCGAATTCTCAGTATCCCTAGGGAATACCAGGATATCAATTTGTCTCCGTTGGCACAGGACGTGAAGTTGCATCTGGAATCGTGTATACAAGCGTATAACCATTGGCAAGCTGAATATATGTATACATATATATATATATATACATCGTATACGTACGAGTTCTGCCATTACTATATGTACATATTGTAACAAAAGATACATTGGTAGGCATGTATACCATCGCATTAACAGTAGGGAAAACAAAATCCTTGTCCGTCGACGAGGCGAAAATCTTTCTCGCTCTTTCCACGTACTCGGCAAAGAGCACCGGATGTGCACAGCTATGCAGTCACTTATATCTACCTACCTACGTCTCCACGTACCGATTTTCTCTCGCCATCCGGCTACGAGATACGTTCACGTATTCCCAGCGTATGCTTTTCCGAGCAGAGCCTAGGACTCTCCTGCACGTCCTGTCTGCTTGGCGCTCCCGACTCTTCGCTCTGTCGCTCGATTGCCCGTATGCATTTTAGCCGCGTGTGCACTTAAAGTTTCCATTTGGTTGCGCATGCACGCAGCCACGCCGCTAGCCCTTTCTGGAGCGTGGTATATGCATACACACAGTATACAGCTGGCAGAGCAAGCAGAGCAAGCAGAGTTGTCCAACCAGTTTTATTCCATTTCTCGAATTTTGTCCTACCAACCCTGCACCTACTGCGCGCCCCCTCATTTCACAATTAGCTAACTGAAATCTGCACTGCTGCGTGTGCATATGTATACGTATATATACATATCGGGCTGAAATGTATGGAAATGTTTTAAAGCGTAATAGCGAAGGAGGCAAATGTGGGCCAAGTGTTCTCACGAATGGGCAATAATCCGCAGGTACCTTAGTACAGGATACGAAGGGTGAGAAGTGGGGTGGAGGGAGTTTACTAGTAGTACCACCCTCTTTCCTGTACCTCGTGCCGATAAGGTACCGTTTTCATCGAGAAACGTTAGAGTCACCCTGCTCACGCCATCCGTAAAAACTGCTAAATCGTAACTTGCTGCGAGTGATATCTCGAGATCGCTTTTTCTTGGATTATTTTTATTTCCTATTATTCTATATACGAGGATATATGGGAATTCGGTCGGAACGGAAACGACTTATCGAAATGCTAGCCGAAGAGAGTTCGTGGATAGTACCAGCTACCTCGGTGCTAACCAGGCATGTGGCATGCACTCCGAAAACTTCGTGCTCTTTCAAATCTGTTTTTTAACCCTTTTTATCCATCCACCCTTCCCCTTTTTTCGAACGGTATTTCAGCTTTATACTATATATGTATCCGTCAACGATACACAAAACCGCTGGTAGAAATTGAGATACGCAAGAACTGTTGGAAGTTTACGGAAGTTCTTGAGAAAGTACGGAAATGCTATGTACGTCCTAGACGCCATAGGCATCTTACTGTAATCGATCCTTGAAAACTTTCGGAAGCGAATATCCCAATTTCGCTCTGCCTCCCGGTTCTGTTCGAGATTTAGCAGAGAGAGAGAGAGAGAGAGAGAGAGGGAGGTCGACGGGAGATATAAAAAAGGGAGGGTGGCTATCCGGTCGGAAAGGACGAGGAGGCGTCAGAGAGAAATCGTGCGGAAACTCCGAGTCCGAGGGGTGGCGCGCGAGAAAATTCATCGGCTTAAAAGGTCGCGGAAATCGAGTGCCGCGACGAAACAGTGTACATTATCTCGAAATCGTGTTATTCCTCAATAAGTTATAGAGAAAACTGGATGTCGGCCGGAATGCTCTTGGTTGAAACTTTGAAAAGGGATCGAAGTGAATCGGCCTTTGGTCGAACCTAACGCCCCGCGTAATCAATCAACGTCCAATACGCTGCTTCGCTCTTACACGTTCAATTTAACTGACGCAATTTATCTGCCGAATGTCAAACCGGAAGTGCTCGCGAATGAAATCTTTTTCCATCTTGTCCCGAGCCGCGGCCTGTTTTCACTACTGAGACTGATGCGAATCGAACGACGCTTTGACTAGACGCTAAGACGGGGAGAAACTTTCTGTCGCGTGGAAATGAACCTTACAATGGGTGAAAATCGAACGGCAGATGTCAGTCTTTGTGGGGAAAAAATGGAGTCTCTTGCAGCGACGGGATATAGCGAAAGTGAAATGTATTGCTGGATGTAAGAACTGATAGATTTTATGTGTAGGGTTTGTATATATATTGGCTTGTCGGTAAGGTAGGAAACCATATACAGGCTACGCCATTGTATAAGATCGACTTATGACGCACAGGCGATATTCTTTGATGGAAATCGACAGCAAAGGCTTCCTTTTAGTGTCTTTGTGGTCGACACCGATGTGATGCGATCGAGTGAAGTCATCGATTTAACGATTTTCCGTTCTCGGCAGGTGGAAGAAGATGAAAATTGAAAATTTTTTTGGTCTCTTCTCTTTATTTTCAAAGAATCACTTTCAATTTAATCGCACATGGTTCTGCGCTACCCCCGTTTTCTTTATGACGTCACCTTATCGGAATCTCGAAAATACGATTTTTCCAATAATGAGGTAAAGGAATATGAGAGGTAGGGGAGCGAAGTAATGAGGGAGCGGCATAAAAGATTCGTGTCTATAAAAATTGGAAGTCTCATCGGTGACGCTTTAAGCCGATAACGGATATATCGGATAAGTCAGGAAATTACTCGATAAAACAACAAAATGGTTTGCTGCTAGTTGCCAAAAAAAAAAAAGAAAAAAAAAGAAAATCGTTTAAATCTTCATTAGAAAATTGCGTCGTACCAAGTCTCATTCGTTTGCGCGACTCTTGCATAACCGACTTTCCCCCAAGGGCCCGACCCTCCATTAACCCGGATATCGATTCGCGGTTTCCCTCCAGCTAAATGGCCGAATGCAATGATCTCGACAATAATTCGGTAACCGATCTCTCTGAATTAATTGAATGATATAATATAGATGATAATCGAACCTCCTTGGGATTAGCTCGTACTGGAAATCGACGATAATTCCCAGCGACCAATCAACGTTTTCACGTCCCACTTCTTGTACCTTAAATCCCAATGACTCTAACCCTCTGTACTCCAGTCTCTCTACATCCGCTATAACACAAGCAGCCAATTTCTAGTAAGTTTCTAGCCGTTATTCCAAGAGCCACTCCGGCGGTCTAGACCAGACAATCCCATCTAAGATAAACCCGAGTTCCACGATACAAATCGCTGATTCGTCAAGGGGCAAGTGTCCTAGAGTCAATCCTGATGGAACTCCTGGTCGCTTCCTCGTGGTCTACGTCGATGAGCACGATCGATCCCCGGTTGGGTTCTGTGGGTCGTATGGGCGTGGTTCGGTGGTTGGTACCGCATCCAAGGTTAAACGAATGCCAGGTTGTTGGCTGCCGACACGAGGGCTGTGGCCGATAGTACCACGTTACCCTAAAGGAGAGAGGGGTGGCTCTTGACTCTCCTCCTATTCTCCAACGCATTTCCCTTGGTCGACCTGACTTTGCTTTGGCTTCGCCTTTACTAGCATTGCCTTAATTCTATCTATACCATGCCTTTGCTGTGCTCTGCTACTCCGTGCCACAGCACACCCCGCACCTAGCCTCCCCTACTGCCAGTCGACTCGGCTTGGCTCGCGTGTTATTTATGTAGTTAATACCACGCCCGCCGGAGACTAGCTCAACGTTTCTTGGAATCTCTTACCTTTTCGCGGCGGTTTATTTTGGTCGAGGTTCGTAAACCTCGAATTTACTTGAGGGCGCACGGGATTCCGGGTAACGGTTAAGGGATGATCACGAAGACAGGGACGAACTTAACTTTAGGGACATCAGGAACTCTTCGGAATTCGGGTATCACTCTCGGAGCCAGTCGATAAGCTCGTAATTGTCACGGAGTTCGGCGATAAACGATCGGCGCGAGGGTTGTTAACATCCCTTGTGCCACGGATACGAGTAAGGGTGGAAGCGCCTACTGTGGATGACGTTAACCTGGAAAAATCGTGATTTAAACGAGCTACGAAAACTCCTCTCTTTGCCTCTGCGGCTTGTTCCTTGACACATGGCCAATCCTCCACCCCCTCCCGCCAGTTTTGTTCTGCCGTTATATTCCTTGAACATCCCCCACCCCCGCCCACCCAACCACCCTCCGTACACCACTCGCTCACCCTTCGCCCTTTCGCCGTAACTTGGTCACTGCTGTTTTTATTATTCTTCACGGGTAGTTTCCCATCCGCTCTGCTATTCCGGTCATGATATATATTTTACAAAAGAATTTAGTGCCTCATTTTTTTTTGTCATTCGAATTTGCACTCGGCCACGATTATCGAGTCCTATCGTTACACCAAGGGATCGGCCACCCCTTAGGAATTCAACCTCATGTAATATCCGATATACCTATACGCTTAGCAGTTAACAGGCGTTTTCAAACGTGACAGATATCCCTATTGGCAACCTGACAATTTTTTTTTTTTGGGTTTTCGATGGTTTT